TGACAGGCCTTCCGTCAAGCCGTTAACAAGGAAGTAAGGAAAGGGACTTACATTCCTCAGCCTCTAGATGGTGCCTTTGGAAAAATAATTTCTGGACTCCTGCATTAATGGTCAACTTTACACATTTGCATGGTCTCTAGTAGGAGTGATTGCCTTGTATGTCTTTCTCTGGGGGAAAAAAAAGCTTCAGTGTGCCTGTTTGAGAACGTAGAATTCAGCCGGAGGAGAATAGCAGAATACGGCAGAATTTGGAGTGTTATTTCCTGATATTTGGACATCTCGCCTCTGATTGGATGAATGAAAGGCAACCCTACCACTGACTGTGTTTGCTTTGCAATGTTGATGTTTTATCTTCCAAGCCTGAAAGAGTTCTGCCATGTGGTGAAGTTGCTAATGCTAACAGTTAGCTTCTACTAGTTGAGGCGCTCTGTGCGGTTTCCTGGATGCTAAACCAACAACAGCCTTTTCTGGTGAGTCCATGAATGTTAAGTGACAGCATGACGTAGACCTGTCAGGATTTTCTGAACCAAGCATTACTTTCTGTCTGTGCAGATCATTTGCTGCTGTGGCCCCCAGACTCTGGAACTCTCTCCCCCTGAGCCTGAGATCAGTGGACTCAGTGGTCTCCTTTAAAAAGCAGCTGAAAACTCACTTGTTCAGGCTGGCTTTGGTGTGACCTTCATCACCCTCTCCTTGTTCTGCTCTCCCCACCTATTCCTCAGGATCCACTGACTTCCCTCTTTCCTATTCACACTCTCTCTCCTTCTTTACATTTTGAATCACAATTGTCTATTTTTTGCTAATTTAAAATATATTTTTAATCATTTTCTAAATTATTTTTATATTTTTACAATTTTTGTTTTTGTGAAGCGCCTCGTGATTTTTATCTTGAGAGGCGCTATAGAAAAGATATTTTCTTCTTCTTTCTTCTTCTTCTATTTTCTATCAGAAGCTAATGCAGGAAAAAGGCGTAGGAGACAATTTTTATGGTCAGCCTGCATGTTAAACTTAAAATGATTGATAATTTAAAAAATAATCAGTGTTGGGAACGTTACAAGATTAAAAAAGTTATTAGCAGGGAAAGTAACTTCTGCGTGACATTTTTCTTAAAAATATGCAAGAAAATGGGATCCTCTCTTCATAGAACTCACTTCCTTCCTTTACTAGTAAAATACTACAATACTAAAATATAAATGACTAAATAGACAGGATTACAAAAAATGTTACTCCCATTGTTTATTATAAAAATGAATGATTAAAATAAATGAGCACCTAATCAGAGGAACCACAAACAAAGCACTTTATACCGATCCAAACTATTCAAGTGTCACTGTGTGATATGAAACAACACTCCAGTCAACTAAAACTACAAATCTAAGTAGCATGTATCTATTACTCATAATCTAGTGACAGCATATCTATAAATAAAAATACTAAAGAACACTAGAACAGACATCTGACAGACATCGAGGGTTTAAACTGGATAATTTTAGCCGAACACAAATGTGGAAGTGCTGAAGCTGGGTGGTAAAGACAGTTCTGGTAACACCCATGACGTCTGAGACTGATACAATCAGTGTTACAGCGGGACTAAGGAAGTGATCAGGAACACTAACTGGAAGACGATCTAGGAAGACAGAAGATCGTGATGATGTCTGATCGGTGAACAGGTGAGTGGATCTTCCTTTCATGGGAAGTCCTACAATCACGTCAAGAAGGTTATGGCAGCAGACCCGCAGAGCAGATTCACACCTGCAGACACTGGTAATGTCTTCCTTGTTGCTCAGTGGCGGGGTTTCCCTCGAAGGAAAACATCCGCCCCTTTAGCTCCCGATCAGATGACGACAGATTCAACACAACTTGCTGCTGAAACAAAGTAACGCATAGGGATGGGTACCTTTGACATTTGAATCGATCCGGTACTAATTCCCGGTACCTAGGAATCGATACCGGTACTTAACGGTACCAATTTTCGATACTTTTGAGTGTTTAATATTTTAATTCTCTTTTATAATTAGATATATATGTTTCTCAATTTATAACCATATTTGATAAATATCACGATAAATAACATTCAACTGTTTGTATTTTAACATCGTCCTTGTAGTTTTATAAGCTGATAATTAAACTGAAGCAAACATCTTTACTGTGAACTAAATTTATTGTGTATCTTCATTCCTTTTACCGTCCTTTTCCAATTGATTTTTTCTACTGGGAAGTTAGAATTTCCGAGGAGAAAGCGAACGCACCATTAGATGATAACAATGGTGGCATAGGAAGCTAACATATCAAGCTACGTTATCTTAAACAGTTTATTTAGCTGCTGGAGCAGATTAAAACGATGATGCCTCACACTTAAATCATTGTCATTGGTTTCATCTTCACCCAATCACCCGTCGCATTTAGTAAAGTGAAGCCAAACTTTAGAGCGCGTTCATGTTCTTCTAGTCAGAATTTCGGAGTTCCGAGGAGAAAGCGAACGCACCATTAGTGAAACGGAAGCTAACAAATCAAGCTAACGTTATCTTACATTTTATTTACCTACTGGAGCAGATTAAGATGAGGATGTCTCACTTAGATCGTTGTCGCTGGTTTCATCATCACCCAGTTACCCATCACATTTAGTGAAGTGGACCCAAGCTTTAGCGTTCGTTCTTTCTACCATGCTGCTCTGTTTACAACTCACTCGCAGCAACCAATGACATAACGCTCTTGCGCATGCGCAGCTTTCTAGGCAAGTTCTCATTGTGAAGGACGGGTACCGAAACGAGGCACCGTTTCAAATGAAGTGAATCGGTGCTCGGTCGGTACTGTGGAATTCGGTCAGTACCTTAAAAAGTACCGAATTCGGTACCCATCCCTAGTAACGCATGCATTTTCTTATCAGTAACAAGCAGCTTTACGATGAAAGAAGACAATTAATTAGATTACACACTACTGAAAAACCTAACTTCCGTTTTTCCAGATTGCTAACAAAAATAAGTATAAGTTTCTCAGTGAACCTGCTCTTTAAGGTCTGATTGCATGTCCTGAAACTCTAATACCCAAATGTTCACTTCATGTGTCTGCTCAACCCTTTGGTCTGCCTCCTGATGCATTAAGTCAGAGTTTCCTGATCAAAGTCAAACTGACAGCTAACAATCTGTTTCCTGTTGCATGTCACTTCTGCCTTGTCTGAGGTACTGTAATGACCAGCTCGACAGCCGACTGTCCACACAAAAGGACTTTGATGACTGCCAGGAACTACCCATCGCCCTTTCTAGTTTAGAAATGGATTCTGAATAGAGAGGATGCAAATCTACTCCAACATTCACAAAGTCCAAATTATACTGTGTCCATTGATCGGAACAAGAGAAGACAACATTTGGCATTTCGAAAACAACGGTAATGAAAAGTATTAACGATGAGCCAAAGGCTGCAGCTGTGAAAGGAAACCTATCGTAATTACAAGTCCACATGAGGTCAATGGCTCTTTGATGGCAAAAATATGTGAAGAGATCAGATCAAAGGTGACTGGAGTCTCTTTCTAGTTTCAGGCGAGTGGGTCTTTTTTGTTGCAGGGTTAGTGGTAAATTCATGAGCAACCTTTGCCCATATCAGGTAAGAAAAACATGATCAAACAATTACACCTGAAACCAAAGCCGACACACAAATGTGCAGAAGTAAGTTCACAAGGAAAGGTAGGAACAAAATACCATCCCAGGAAAGCATTCATCCCTGGATTTCATATCCCTTCCTTCATCTTCTGCAAAGGAAAGAACACATCAAGGGGGGAAATGCTGCGACGACACACACATACACAAAAGCCGACACATTCATCAAGGCGACATGGGCAGATTGTCAGTGACACTCTAAAGCCTGGCAGGGAACGTCCCTGCACCAGCAACAAGGGTGGGCAAAACCGAGAGCCAGTCAGCCGTGTACTAGCCCCTGGTCAATTATATAAGACAGTGATTCACGCACATACAACACACACAACATTGCTCACAGTGCAACAGCTAACTGACAAGAGGCATAAACTACAACTGTCTACATCACCCTGCAGAGCAGCAGCGGTGAAAGAAAATAAAATTACATCTTCAATGCTGCTGAAAGTGTCTTCTTTGGTGTTTAATGACTACTGGCTCTATGCAAAGCAAACGGAGAGGGAAACCTGTGTACATACAACATCATTTCTGCTGTGGCGGCATCCCATATGTATGACTCGATCTTCAGTTTACTGTCAAACTGTGAGGAAGACTCCTCTCTTCCTCGTTGCACAAGTTACAACCGCAAGCACTTTAGAGATAAGCATTGAATAAGATTAGAGCAGAGAAAGAGGTGGGGGTGGGGTCAGTGTTCAGGAATTTATTTTTGTCAAAGAGAAGAAAATATTTTTCAGAGGAAACGAATTAAAGTGTTATGTGAATGCCAGAAACAGCATAACATAACGTCTCACTCGCTACTAAAGTCAGTGTTTGTACACATTTTTGCCTTGCTGTGCTTGTGGGGACCTGCCACTGACTTTCATTCATTTTAGTGAATGCATTATGTCTAACCCCAACCCTAACCCTTACTGGTCTATTCCTGAGATTAACCTTAACCCTTAACTCACACCGTTCCTCTAAATCCAAGTATTAGGGTGTTTTTATTGTAGGACCAGAAAAATGGTTCAACATGGAAAAATAAATACAAAACACACACACACACACACACACACACACACACACACACACACACACACACACACACACACACACACACTTTAAATCCTCATTAGGGTTCACTTAAGTTTCTTTTTGGACAACACGAGTAGTGCTGATCTAATCCCAGCATAAGCACAAAGCATCTGGTGTGCAGACACTTACAATGGTTAAGGGAAGGATTAACCCCCTAAGTGGATGTTTCACCATTTTATAACTTAAGCCATTATAAATACTATAATTTGTCCTTTTTGACACTAGTTGGCAAAAAAAAATAGTCACTTAATTTGAAAGTGTAAACAGAAGTTTATTTTCTACCTTCTGTAAGGTTGTGTTGGTGGCAATGTGGTCTATGTTCTCCTCCTCCATCTCCTCCATCTTCAGACGACTTACCACCACCGTTCCTGCTGCACAAACACCATCAGACGACCTAAGAACAGAACAAACAGAGACATTAAGGAAGCTGCTTTAATCTGCTGATTAAATTATCTTTCCCTTGGACTGCAACCTCTGGACAAAACGGCAATCTACATTGTGAATGCTCCAAAGAAAAAGCTTGTTAAGTTAAAAAAGAAATAGATGCTTGCCCTGCAATTGCTTTAGCTGAAGTTGCATGCACAATACAGCGGCTCTTTCTCAGGATGAGAGTTTTGAGAGCAAGGGAAATAACGTTTTCTCTGACTGTTCAATTGGCGGTCTAATGACCTCAGTACGTGCTCAAACAGAGATGGAATTGATTCTAGACTTTACAAAAACTGTAAGAGAGCCCGACCAATCACTTTTCCAATCATGGAGCTGTGATTAAGGAGCTGATAGAAAATCTATATTATTGGCAGCGAGACCAGGGCCTTTAAAATAAAGAAAAATGTTTTTTCGACATGACAGGAGCAGGTCTGATCGCTTTAAAAGACCCATCCCTAATGTGCTCGGTTCCACTCCGGCTGGAAAAAAAATGGATGTTGTGTGCCAGCCGGTCTGAGGGGAGGGGAGGGGGGATGACACACCACTGCCTGAGGAGGAGAAAACGTAAAGACGGTGATGGAAGAGAAAGGATGCTTTCAGGGCTAATCCATCTCAGCGAGGTACAAGGAAGACACATTTTAAACACACACAAGAGAAAAGCGAAGATGGAAGGAAGCAATGTGAGTACATGCAGGAGAGGAAGATGGAGTGAGCAAGGATGGGAACGGGAGGCAAAAGAGCCTCTGCAGCGGGACGCGGGGAGCTTCAGTTAATGTTCTACAGCAGTCTCCAGGCAGGAAACATAACACTGGCTGTTCTAGAAATCTAATCATCGTCCCTCGCCGGACACCTGTCTAAGTGTTTACTTCTCTGCTTCTCCTTTTTAGTTTCCTCCCATTCCTCATCACCAGCACCGTCTCCTCACACACCTTTCCACCCCCAATGCACAACAGAGGACCGAGGCATCGAGGCGGAAAGTCACCCTGACTTTGAACAAACAGTGTGTACTGACAGGGGCCCACACATAATCAAGAAAATGGAGATTAACATGCATCACAATCACTGACAGTCCTCCCCAGGCAGACCACGGGGGTTACGGCGGCTGTCTACTCTTTAGATTACTTCACCACATCCACTAATGAAACTCTGCCTTCATACCGACCAGAGACTCCTCTAGAATTCCTTAAAGATAACTGATATCAGATAAAATTTGTAAAAAAACTTCTGTTGCTGACTTGGGGTGATTTTTGACCATTTTGAAGTGAGTTTCAACGTAAAAGATATAAATAACAAACATCTGATCTGCTGCAGCCTTTGTTCAGACATGGCTCATGAGCTAATGGCTAATCCAGCTAAAACCAAAGTGGCGTCATCAGTTTTGTACGTTATTATTTTGTCATCTGGTATCAGGTGAACCTTCTGCTGGATTTGAGTCCTAACCCTAACCGGGTCTTTCCACCAGACGCACAAGCACTGGGAAACATATTAGCCTCTGTTACAGATGATGGGTGCGCTTCCACTGGCCGCAGCGCGCCACGTTTCAGAAGCATCCCAGAAGCGTGGGTACGTGTTGTTTCAGCTTCAAGTCACATTTTTACACACTCCACTTCTAGAACGTGTCAACCTCTGCAGTTCAGATTGGGCCAGACAGGAAGTCAAACGTGAGAGCAGTGCAAAACATCCAGAAACTTTCAAAATAAAAGTTATGTGCAGATTTCCAGTTGCTCAGTGAATGGCTTTTATTTGTATAGTGCCTTTAACTTTTACAATAAATATTTATTTTCATTTCATTTCAACCCTCATTGTTCCAAATGAATAAAATAAGAGTAACACTTTACAATAAAAGTCCCTATAGTAACGTTACTTAGTGCATTATTAAGCATTAATAAACTATTTAATGAACAGCTTAACCATGCTATGTAACGCCTTACTAAACAGACACCCCCTGGCCCTTTGTCTTAACCTTAAGGTTAAGAATTGTTAACAATACCAGGAACATTAATAAAGGGACCCTTATTGTAAAATGTTATCAAATTTAATTAATTCATTTATTCTATTTGTGGGAGTTTAAATGGTACGACAGCAGAAATATATTTTGTTTTTTGCTGTTCTTGAACAAAGTCTTTTGGCACATCTTCATTGTAGACTTGAACTGTTTCCACTTTACTGTACCTTTCTGTGACATGCTCATAGCAAAAAGAGCCACAAGCCGAGTCTTTCTTTTGTCTTCAACCCTTTTTTGCCCCAGCACCCATCAGTCGTGAACAATTTAAGAGCCACTTCTCCAAAAACATGCCATACAGGAAGCTTCCCGCAGCGGTAAGTTTGGTTTAGCTTGTGCAGCAGGTTCAACGTACACGTGCAAGTCAAACAAAGTAGAGAAAAAGATAGGGACTTGCTGAAAACACATCTGATCTGCAGTGAGAACATTTTTATATAAACAGCTTTGCTTCAGACTGAACTCTAAAGGGTTTAACGACAGCATTAGTTGAAACAGACCCCCCCGTTCCCACATACTCCCCGAAAACTCATCTCCTGCTCGGTTTGAGCTGGCATGGAGACAGATATGCAGACTGTTCTCTCCCTAGAAGCTCATCTTTCTTTTAAATCTAATTGGCTCAGGATCTGCTTTTATGACAACACTTAATCAGACGGCTTTGTTCAAGTGACAAAAATAATGCGCTTAAAACGACTGCTGTGAATTTGGCACAGTTAAAAGAATAATTAGTTTTCTGGGAAGTGCCTTACATTTAACAGTTATTTTCTCTCTGGAGCCCTGCTCGTCACCAGCTATGCTGTCAAGCAACATAGGAACAGACTGTTAAAAGTCTTTTGTATCGCCATTTTTATCTAAGGTTTTAATATATGGGCCTCTTACATAACCGACACTAAATTATAGGATAAATGTTGAAAGAAATGTTTTTCTGAGGTAAAAATATCACATGTACTACTAGCAACTAAATTAATATTTTATGTTCTTTTACTTCCAAACATGACACAGTTAACCATTTTCCAAAGTATAAAGTACGGTGTAAAACTGATGTAGCCAGCAAAACACTAGCAGAGGGATGCAATAATCCTAGACACATACGGCTACAATCTCTGCACGACTGAATATACAAAAAAATCTGACAGCCCCACAATCAAAATATGTGCTTTCTATTTCTACTGTGAGTTTAGTAAGCAACAGATAACACTGAAGGAATGTTGTTTCTGGCACACAACTGGGAAAACAACAACAAACACCAGAAATGAAGATGAAGGCAGCTAGACTTCAAATCCCACAGCAACCAAAGATAATGTTTCCCCAGTTTTATTTATTGAAAGGGATACTAGGTATATTTAGGCTTGATTTTAGCACCCACTAGTGATCCTTTAGTCAAGGCAGAAGTGAAAGTTATCTTTCTGCTGTGCATTCCTCTTTTTAACATCTAACTGCTAAAAGGTCTTCTTAGCCTTCATTTGTGTCCACAGGAAAAAATCATCACTAAATCAAACAAATCAGCTGAATTCACAATCTAAAACATGCAGGAAATGTGCTGAAAGCAGACTGCAGCGCTGACATATTTTACTAAGGCTAATGGGGACCGGACTGGGTACTCTGAAGTTGCAAGTGCGGTATTCAGGCCACATGGGTGGTGGGGGCTGATTGACATTTCATTAACCCTGTAAAGGTCATTTTAGCACATACTGGCTCAAGAAAATTATTTAAATACATGACAAAGTTGCATAGTATGTTTATTTCTTGTTTGTTTTTGTTTTAGCCGTGTCCTGTCTGGCTGTGAAGCAAGCAGAATTGATGTCTGAATGCTGGTAACAAGCCTTACAGATTTACTCTCAGGTGGAGCATCAAAGCGTCTGCTTTTAATGTCACGCCTGATACTTAAAACTTTATTGTTATTGTTTTTGAATGCTTTGTAATTCCGACCAGACACGGAGACAGAGGTGAAAGAGAAAGGAAAAGACAAAAGGTGGGAAGAGATGGGGGAGGGGGGGGGGGGGGGGGGGGGGGGGTTCCACAAAGATAAACAATAATGAACAAGAGTCTGCATCTAGACCTGCAGAAAGAGAAGGAACAGAAAAAATGGGACACACAACAATACATCAGGAGCACGCTATCACTGCGTCAACCTGATGATGAAATATAAAATCACCACTGTTTAACTGAACAATCACACGATAATAAATCATAGTGCATTTAGTGGCAACGACAGCCTTAACACAAGTGTTGAACGTGCCCAAGCCCATACTTTTGAGAGCACCATGTGAGCACCTGTGTGTGTACACGCGCTTGTTTATATAAGGTTTATCTATAGGAGCGTCCAATAGAGTGTGAGGGACCACAGATCCGCCCCCCAAAGATGTGTAGGAGACGGAGGGAGCTCCAAGTCCCAGAGATCCAGGCTCTGCCCCAGAACACAGGAACCCCAAGGAGACTGAAACCAGAAAGGCCCCCGCCCCTCTCGAGAGGCACAGAGGATCGCCCTGGGGGGCCACAACCAGCAGCCGGCAGAGTCACGGGAGATCTCAGCGGCAAGCCCACAGGCCCGCCCGCAGCCTCCCACCCCCTAACCGGCCGAGCCCGGAACCCAGCGACTCGGGACCCAGGGGCGACCACCCCCGCCGGGGACCCAGCAGAGCCCAGGGACCCAGACCTCACCAGGCAGCCACCGGGATCTATCAAGCAGACGCCAAAAATTTTAAACCTCCTGACCCGGGAGCCACGGACACTCAGGCAGACCAAGGCACCACACCCCACACCAGGTGTGGCAGGGGGAGGGGAGACGAAGATCTATATCATCAAAAGAAGTCCCAGGAGAGGGGAGGAGTCAAAGGCCCCACCTGACATATACGGTCATACACAAACACAGTCACACACTCTCTCCCTCATGCTCACACATGCACATACAACCAAAGACACAAAAATGCACGCCGGACACCCACTCATGCTCCCCATACACACCCTAT